ACATACATACATACATACATACATACATACATACATACATACATACATACATGCAGTTAAAATACAATGTACATAATAAAGGTAAATAAATTAAAAAAATATTCAAGCAGAAGTAACTTCCAGAATTAGATGAAAATTGGATTCTAGATCAGCTTCTAAGTGCCCCTCCCTGTCTGAAGATACTAGGAATGCTTCTCAAAGCTGATGGGAATTTTTGGCCACTTTCCCCAACATTTACCTCAATCTCCAAGTTCTTTTCCTCTACTGTCTTAATGAGTACCATTCGCTCTCGCTTTGGGGTATTCAGTAGAGGTGTTCCTTGGCTCCCCTGGGAGGCCAGCAAACGATCCAAACTCAGGAGGTTCTCCAACATGGCCGGATCCATATTGCTTAGCTTCTGCAAGAGGCTGAATTAGAAAAAGGTTACTCCCATTTGTCTTCTCTCTCATCGCCTCCAGCAGCAGGACTACCCTTATAGTCCTTAACTTGGTTTATCTGTTTCAGGATCCTGAGGGGAACTCAGTTATCTAGTCTGGTATGGTATAGTGTCTTGGTGAAGTAACTGTCAGGTGAAGTAACTGTCAGGGATGCCAGACTATCAGATGAGAAGCTGATAGTGTTAATACGCACCGAATGGCACACATCAGGGACCACAATACTGCCCGGTCTAAGAGTCACTTGTGAAAAGAGGGTTAAAAGGGGGGGGGGGATGGGGAGATCACTCAGCAGTTCAAGTACTTGCCATGTGATCAAGGGGCTTGGAAGTTGGATCCTTAGAGTCCACAGGAAATGCAATGGGTATGGCAGCCTGACTATAATCCCAGCCTCAGAAGGCAGACATAGGCCACCCAAGCAAGCAAGCAGGCAAGCGGTCTAGGGACACCAGCTACACAGGAAGCTCTAGGTCTTATGGAAGACCTAACCTCAGCAAATAAGGTGCAAGAGTGACTGAGGAAGAGTCTCAGCTTCAACCTCAAGCCTCCATGTATACATGTAGACACACCCATGTACACCACAAACACAAAAGGAATAGGAGCTGAGGGCTTGGACATTTGGAAAGCTTCATAGAAGAGGTACTCATTAGCAGGAAAGCTACCAGAGACAAGATGAGAAGCCTTTATCCAGAAGGCTGTTTACACAAGTCTCACTCCAGTGGAGTCCTGGCTATCTGAGCACAGTAATTTCTATCAATCATACAGCATTCTCCCTGGAATCTTTACCCTCACCTTTGGTGGAAATTGTCTTTCAAAGAGAAGATGCCACATTTCTGATAATGCCCAGTTATACTGAACTAGCCTCTCAAAGATCCCAAACATGTCCTGTTCTTCATGCTCAAGCCTTAGAAGAGCAGTGTTAGACAGAAAGCATAGGGCAAACAGTAGAAATCCCAAGTGCTGGGATTAAAGTCACACCAATACTCAGCACTTTTCCTTTTTTTTTTTTTTTTAAATATGCATTAATGTTTTGCCTACATGTATATATATCTATGTGAGGGTGTCTGATCTTGGGAGTTATAGACAGTTGTGACTGCCATGTACGTACTGGGATTTGAACCTGGGTCCTTTGGAAGAGTAGTTAGTGCTCTTAACCACTGAGCCATCTCTCCAGCCCCCACTTTTCTTTTTTGTATTATCTACTTGGCTTTAAAAACCTAGGCTCCCCATCTCCTAAAAATAAATCCCCAAGGTCAAGGTTTGATATGCCCCATTTCTGAGCTTGCCTTTATCCAGAATACCAGTTTGGCCCTTCAATGACTCTAGAATAGATTTTAGAGTGAATTCATTGGGAAAGCTATTGTTACCTACAGCTAGTCCTGAGTCTGCAGGGAAGGCCTGACTCTCACCTTAGTTTCTGGGAGGCGGAGGCTGGAGCTGCTACAGTCTCAGGGCTCCTAGCCGATTCTTCTTCAGAGCCTTTGGCTTTCTTTGCCTCTGATGGGCCCAGCAGTTGTTTCTGAGACAGCTTACCAGGGGCCAAAGCTGAGACGATTGGAGGGATAGAAGGGAGAATCACCGTGGTTAGCCTTGACGCTAGTGCTTGGTGGTTTTGGCAAACTCCCAAATTGCCCTGGCCATTCTATCTCTGTCTTCCCTAGTTCTTACCATGAGGCTGTAGACTCTCATTGGTGAAAGGCCGGTTAATCACCTCCTTGGACTTAGTAGTGAAGTTCAATGCTGAGATTGTATCCAGGTAAAAGCATTTTTCAGGAGCAATGTTGGTAATGAGGATGCTATGAGCTGAGCCACCCAGAGAGTCCTGAGGGGTGAGGATTAAAGTATGGGTCAGTCTCCCAACCTTCCTACTTCTTAACAACAATGCCCCCTACCCTAACCATAGGCCCAAGGAGCAGCCTTCTTCTGTCCCTTTTGAGCCAACAAGGGTGGACATGACCTGCAATAGGCGAGTGAGTTTGCTGTCCCGGTAAGGAATGCGAGGGAGCCCCTGGTTCAGTGCATCCACCACTTTGCCCAGTACAAAGAGGGAGGTGTTGATGGCTCCACTCTCTTTGAGCCGAATGCCCTGGTTGCCAGTGCGACGGTTGTCCTCTGAACCAGCCAAATCAATAAGGTACAGTTTTCCTTCCCGCTGGAGAAACGGAGCCAAACGTTCACGCTGCTCCACCTGAGGAAGAACAAGGGGCCCAGACTCAGGCAGGCTTCGGGGCTTACCAGGCCCTTCTGTCAGTGGGCCTTACCTTGACCAGGAGCACCGCATGGCTACGGGAGGAACGCTGGTTAAGCCGGGTGGCCCCCACAACTCGATTTCTACTGGCTGGCAGGAAGTGCTGCTCGAAGTCAGAGAAGGTAGTGATGGGCTTCTGCGTGAGGCCTGGAATCAGGATGTTCCCTCGACAGTCTTCTCGGATCGCTAGGTCTCCTGACGTAGGATCCAAGAGGTCTAACACCTATTTAAGCAGGGACAATAAGCCCATTTCTCCATGAGCAGGTTCTTGGTTTATGGGATCAGGGTCCTTTCTTTTCTCTACTGGACTGTCAAGAGTTCTTCGCCTGCTACCCTACCCTGTCTATGTCTCACTACAGCTCATTAGAGGAGAGCTTCATGTTCCAGGTCCTCTTATTTTGACACCTCACCTTTTCCTGGTAGATCTCTAAATAGGACATAGTGACAGAAAGGTCCCATGGCCGGCCCTCCACACTTTCTTCCCTGGTAAGCTGCAGAAGGTCCATGAGTGCCCTAGGAATCACTCCAGGTTGTTCTGGGCTGCCCAGCATGGTGTGTGTTTTTCCTGGGAAAAGAGTGGAGAGAGATATGAAGTTTTCCCCTCACTTTTCCTAGCTCTCTCATGAATGCTTCTCTGCCAGCTTTCTCACCTGCCCCAGTAGGCCCATAGGCAAGCACACTGGCATTCTGCCCTTCCAGCAAGTGCTTTAGGATGGGCTGTACTGAACCTAGATAGATGTCCTGCTGAGTGCTCTTCTCTCCATAGAAGGCATCAAACCTGTAGGCAGAATAAAAGGGCATTAGCAGGATGTTCTGTTGGTACCTAACCTAAATGATGCTGGGGTTTTTTTTGTTTTTTTCTTTAGTTTTTCAAGATAGGGTTTCTCTGTGTAGCCTTGGCTATACTGGGTGGCCTCGAACTCAGAACAATCTTCTTGCCTCTGCCTCCAAGTGCTGGGATTAAAGGCATGCCTGGCTCCAATGATGCTGGCTTTAAAGGCTCTATCCCATTTCTTGAACAAAGACCTTGACCATGTTCAACCTTGTCCCTGGAAAGCCTTCTGTATTCTAGTCACTGTACTGATGTTAGGAAAACAAAATTAATCTCACATTGCAATCTGGTAGGCCATATACCCTTATTTTGTAATGATTCAGGAGACAAAGACAAGAATATACTAAAAAATAAATGGTTCTGCTGGCAGAAGGGAGCATTGCTAAGCAAAAGAACACAGAAACAAGACACGGTTTTCATCCAATTTCCATCTTGGAGGGGAGCCTAAGTCAGTAAGTCCCTGAAAGTGACCAGGTAAATGAGGTGCCTCTCCCACAAGCATAGAAAGCAATAGAGGGTGCTGAGAGACACTCTTAGACCAGCAGAGCAGTCTGGAGACGCAGAGGCCGGCTGAGCTGCTTGGAAGAGGCTCACTGCCTATAGGCTGTGCAGTGTGTGCCAGGATTCCAGCTTTGTGAGCTGTCAGCCATGTTGATGTGGGCTTAGGTGATGCAGTTGTCTGAGTCATTTCTGTGCCTAAACCTATATTCCTGCAAGTAGCCCCAATAAAATGTGTTTGTTCACCAAGCTGGATGCTACTGGCCTCCTTAGGTCTGTGGTTGTTCCCACTCTGGGGTGAGCAGACATTTGTATGTATCTCCCCAGTAAGGTGGCACACAGCGTGGTGTGAAAGGGCTTCCCAATATTTTTTTGCGGTAGCACTGAAACAGGGTAGATAACAGGTCGGTCCAGACTGAAACACAACTCATCCACTACACCGTGACTCAGAACTTAGTTTATATTGACAAGAAGGCTGGAGAGGAACAGAAGCCACATTATTAACGGCTCAGAACTGGAGCAAAACGTCTGTAAAGTATAGACAGTAAATATATTAGGTTCTGTGACCTCTAGTCTTTCTCCACAGTATTCCTGTACACCATTTATATCTAAATAACCAAATGAAGGTTTGAGGAACAAAGTTTTGCCCAGCAAGGATCCTAAGGGACAGGTCTCAGAAACTCTGAGGAAGTGACAGAATGAGTAGGCTGAGATCAAGGAGGAGTCTGAACCTTACTGATATTTGAGCGTCTCCTGGTAATTCCTCCAGTTGGCTACCTCAAGAGAGCAGCTGTCTATGCCTCGAACACAGGGGGGTTCGTTCGTTTCTGTTTTTTCATCCATAAATGGCCGAAGTCGTACAGCCACCTTTACTCGAGCTGGAGGTGGGCGCCGGCCAGACCCTCCCTTGCTTGGACAGCGACCAGCTCCTGGAAGAGACCGGTTTTAGGTGTTAAAATTTAGTGGAAGCATAGAGAAACTGGAACCAGCTTTGCTGGTTGGTTAAGTGAGCATGCCTCTCACTTAAGGGGAAGCTCTTTTCACAATGGTTGTGCTATGGGCTTCTCCCATGTTCAGCCAACCCCTTCTCTGCTCTACAAGTGGGGTAAGTCAGGTAGAAAGCAGAATTGCCCAACTGTGATATATACATAAACAGGGAAGATTTTGTTCAGATCTGTAAATGGCTCAAAGGATTCTGGATGAAAAGGTGAGCTTGTCTTTCCAACATGGTCTCGGATGGTGCGGACCGGAGAAGGTGAACTGCCAAAGCAGTGTTATCAGCACACCCCTAAGGAGCAACCTAAGGCTAAGACCTCAGGGATTAAGAGTGCTTTTTGCTTTTATAGAGGACCCAGGTTAGGTTCACGGCACCCATGTGGGAGGCCAGGCCAGGAGGATCATCATGAGTTTTTGGCTAATATCCTCTCCTGGCCTCCATGGGCACCAAGACACACATGTACACACACAGACACACACCAATTAAAAAAAACAAAATCACAGGTTTTACTGAAATGACTTGCTGATTATCTAGTAAATACTGAAAACAACAAAAACAAGCAAAGAAAGTAAAAAGTTTTCAATTATGTGTTCCCAATGATTTAGTCTTGGAAAAAAAAAATCCTAAATTATTTTTTACTGTCAAAAAAGCACAAAATATTTTCAAGATTTCTTTTTTTTTTATAAAGATTTATTTATTATGTATACACATGCACGCCAGAAGAGGACACCAGATCTCATTATAGATGGTTGTGAGCCATCACATGGTTGCTGGGAATTGAACTCAGGACCTTTGGAAGAACAGCCAGTGCTCTTAACCTCTGAGCCATCTCTCCAGCCCTCAAGATTTCTTTTTATCTATGAAATGTGTTTGCTTGGATGAATGCACGCCCCATCCGTTTGGGGTGCGCCAAGGCCAGAGCAGAGTCGGGTCCTCTGGAGCTAGAGTTATAGGAGATTGTGAGCAGCCTGACACGGGTGCTGAGAACCCAACTCAAGCCCTTTGGAAAAGCAGCAAGAGCTCTTAATAAACGGGCGTCCTCTCCAGCTACAAGCCTCTAATTATGTTAGGTTAAACAAACAAACAAGCCAGATCTTCCAAGGACAGAAATGCTCTGTCTTATCTTGGAAAGTAGCGTTAACAAAGCTCAGTTAACAGCAAAATCCAAGCCCGGATCTCTTTATTTTATTTGTTGAGACAGGACTTCAGGACTACATACAAACAGCCTTAAGCTAGCTGCACAACAGGGTGACAAACACACACCCGCCTCAGCCTCAGAGTACTGGGGAACTGATGTTAAAGGCCTTCAATGCCGCCACCTTGAACTTCTGGTCCTCCTGCCTCCACATTCCAAATGTTGAGATTATGTGTCCGTAGCTGGCCCCCAAATCCTTTTAACAAAGTTGATGTACTGTCTCCCTTTTGGGTACCAGATAAAAAAGCTCTTAGCAGACTTTCTCCTCCTTTGATGGGAGTAGCAGCTGGCTACCAAGAGCTACAGATCTCTAAGGAAAAGAATGGTTGCTGTGTATGTCCAACACAGAAATTGCAAGAAAAAAAGGCAGCAATTAATCTTGGGAAGAATCCTACACATAAGACAGATATAAACAGGTGGGCTGTTTGAAATTCATCTGACAAACGCTACAGCCCGAACTTACAAAGCATTTCAACATCCCATTCTCATGCTGCTTATGACAGCGTAAAAGTCAGGAGAAAGCAGGTAAAAATGTAGAGTAGAAAATTATGATACAGACAGGTGGTGGTGCATGCCTTTAATTCCAGCACTCGAAGGCAGAGGCAGGCAGATCTCTGCTGAGTTCTAGGCCAGCCTGGTCTACAGAGCGAGTTCCAGGGCAGCCAGGGCTACACACAGAAACCCTGTCTCCAAAACAAAACAAAACTAAACTAAACTAAACTAAACTAAACTAAACTAAACTAAACTAA